GAAAACCATCGATGATGTATGTGAAATTATCCTGTCGATTTCTAAGAAATTAATTAAATCTACAGACTGCATTATCAGAGTTATAATAGTTAGTTTACGGTGTAATTAAATTAAGATAAAACAAAAAACCGCTAAGAATAATTGAAAATTTTATTCTAGACTATTATTCAACTAAATTATTAAAAATCTTAAAAGAAGTATATCTAATCATTCGAAAGTTTCTTTATAAGAGAAAATCATATTATATTTTGTCTGTATATCATTTCGACCACGAGCCGTTCGTTTTGTCTCACGAAGGTACTTTATCGAGATTATGTTCTGAATATCGTTTAATTAAAACTTCATTCGTAGCTTGTCCGATATTTTTGCCAGCTGAAAGTATTTTAAAAAAGTACTTTAAAGGTCTTTTAAAAGTCTCATCGACCTATGCATGTACATGCGTGCGCAAACTATGTAAAGTTGACTTGTAGATGTATACATATACATATATACATACATATATATATATATATATATATATATATATATATATATATGAATATAAACGTATGTAAAGCGAACAACATACCGAACCTAATCGAAGGGGATTTTATTTTTATTATCTGTTCTATTTCGATGATCTGGATTCTTTGATATAATAGGTAATATCGTCCGTCCAGTATCAATTCATAGGTTATGAATTTTTTTCGAGATCCGCACCCTTCGACGGATCGAAAGTCGCATCATAAAGGGAACATTGGATGCGTAGCTCGTGACAAAGAGCAATCCAAAGATAATAGTCCATTCACGAGAACGATCTATCTCTGCACGAACGCTCGCACACGACCCTTTTCTTTGCATCCCAACCCGAAAATACCTTTCAATCTCGGGGCTCTGATGTGTTTGCAAAAAGAATGCTTCCAGAGTGGCATTTCGAGTTTCGATTCTCCCTCCGAGAATTGGAATTCAATAAGGAAACAAGGAAAAATAGCAAAACTAGTTATGAACATCGACATCGAAATGATGATAGTTTATTCGCTTTACGACAGGATTTATCCAACAAAAGGACTTTTTTCTTGCGACTTGTTTCATTCTATTCGTTGAAATGTCAATGTGATATATCATACACAATTATAAAGATCAGTGAAGCATCTTCAAAGAAATCTCAGAGACGAAGCTTATAAGGGGAATATATAGGACGTAGTCCAGGTCCTGATAACAAAGAGATGTTTCGAGCATAGAAGAGAAGGTTGAGTAGCAAATGTAGGGCGCGAGGTGTGCAGGAGGGTTACGGCATTACTATCCTGATAATAGAGTAGCGGTCAATGGTGCAATAGATCGCGCCGTAGGTGGAGACGCAGCCGGATAGCTACGTTGTGTAACATGCGGGAGCCAAGCAAGCTCTCGAGGGAGTCTCTATTTCCATCCTTTTCAACCCTTTCCATTCCTTCCATTTCCAGGAGTATTCATCGGTCCTCGCGCTCTTTTTCTCTTTTATTCCGTAACTTACCTGATCTAATTTTCTTATTTATACATTTTTATATCTATATACAGATTTTATTTTATTTTATTACGTTTAATTGTATTATTATAAAGTTGTATTATTTCATATTATTATTATTATATACAATAATAATTGTTATACTATTTTAATTTCCTATTAATTGTTATCAATAATATTATTATTTATTTTCTTGGTTCGCAATTATAAAGACTGGTCCTATTTTTTTGATAGAATTGGTTTCTTTCACTTTTTCTCTGCCTTGTACACTTTACGTAAGATTTTCTTTTTGCGACAGCTAAGAGTCGATTCTTATCTCTCCATGAGAACGTTCTCCCATGAAACTGTGTTTTCCCGATAATGGGAACGCCATACCACCCTGCTTGCAGCAAGCGACTACCCCTTGGGACAGGTGCGCGCCTCGGAAACTTGCGGAAAGTGGAGCCGAGCTCTGCTTTATAAAATCGCTGTGGTAGTTAATTCGCGATTTAAGCTGTGTCCATGTATGCCTGTATGTACATACAAGTGTGTGTGGAGACGGGATTATCCGCAAGTTGCGGAACGTACTGCCGTTCTCGTGCTGCCTCGGAATTCGTAATGCGAGAGGAGAGGAGAATCGAAAGAAGGAGAAGTCCTCTGAATCGAACACTACGATCAAGTCTATAAGTCTACGACATGTATATACGCATACTTGCGTGTATGTGTGTGTACGATCGTGTCTTTCTTCTTTCCGATAGGGGAAGTACCAAGTTCAGACGAGAGCTTATTTCAAAAGAATATTTTTGTTCGAGGTTACGTCTACCGACTCTAAATTCTCGATAATGATAATAAAAGTAAAGTAATAATAATAATAATAATAATAATAATAATAATAATAATAATAATAATAATGGTAATAACAACAACGATAATAATAAATAATCATAATTATTTCGAAAATAGTATGCAAATTTTTTTGACGAATTGTTCTTACAAAAATGTTATATTATGTTAATTCATTGATAATCGACCGATGTCGATGAAATTTAATTGCACTAACGTGTGATTACGATATTTTTCATGGCGTTCGTGTAAAATATAAATAAATGATAAAGCAAAAACTTCAGCGCTGATGAACGAGACTGATTCTGGAGTAATGAGAATGTTCTGTTAAAGCGGGGTTTTTTTTTACCGTTAATTCGAAAATATCGTTCACGAAAATTTTGATATTTTTAATGCTTTTTCCTTTTGTTTTATAAATATTGTCGCATTTAAATATAGCTTTTTACGAGAAATGATAAGAAAAACATCGAGTCTTACGTATATCTTAAATATACCGAAGCTTCCTGTTTTCTACATCGCGGCATCTAAATAGATAAAACGACGTATCCGAATGCATACAGGTTTGCAATATGTTGGAAAACGTAAAACATCGCTTGGTCTTTACGGTTGTAAATTTTACATTTGAAAGTGTAATGATTTGCACCCAATGTAAAGAGACTGAGTAAGAGTAAGAGAGATAAAGAGAAAGAAGAGAGGAGCTTAGCATTCCGGCGGAAATAGTTCGCGTTACTTTGAGAACTGCGCAACGACATTGGTTACGATCAAAATAAATGGTCTCGAGGATGGAAGATGGAGGAAGAACGTTAACGTGATGGAGGTAAAATCCGTCGTGGTTTTATTTTGATGTTGGGTTTGAGTTCGATCGTGGTAAACGCCAAGAGCTCTCTTTCTCGTTCTTTTTTGTGAAAAAGGAACAAAATGAAAGAAACAGAGGAAAAGAAAGAGAGAGAGAGAGAGAGAGAGAGAGAAAGGGGAAGAGAAAGAGACGATCCGTTTTGTCGATTGCTTAAAAAAGTAAATAAAATTGTTAAAAAATCATTTCTAGTTCAATTAGAAATTAAATATGTGCATATATATGTAAGTAACATATTTATGTATATACATATATATATATATATATACACATATATATAATATATTTAATATATATATAATATATTTAATATATATATAATATATTTAATATATATATATATATATATATATATATATATAATAAATGTTTATTACAGATTATTTAAGTATTTCACTAAACGTACATAACAATTTCAGTGATTCAAAAAGAGGTCTTTGTTGAAAGTACATAAAAAATTGCTAACGTTTCCTATTATTACAGTTTCGAGGTAGCAGCAATTTTTGCGCCAATTATTCTGGCACCGAGAAAAGCGGAAGAATGTATCGTTTAAAAACCGGCGTTGGTCATTTTGTTATCACCTCGTTGAATTCATATTTCGCCTGGTTAAAGTTTCATTGAATTTCGTGACATTCGTTTTGTATTAATACTTTCTCACGCTAGTTGAACAAAAATGAAAAAATGCTTATATACGTAACCGTATTGCGTTTGATAAATAGACGCGAACATTGGCCTCATCTAACATTTCGACGTATAATATTTCGTCACGTTTTTTTTTTAACGTTAAACGTATAAAAGAAATTCACGATTGAGTTACCTTCTTAATTGAACTTTTCACCTCTAAAATCAATAAAAATAATCGAGTGCTTCGCTTATTGTTGTCTCAGAATATTTATTTAAATTACGCTTTTTGGCTTATTCGTGATATTCGATAAAATATTTCAACTAAATAGTTCTTCTCTTTTGGATTATACATTTCGTTCAATGACGTACTATTTACTAAAATAATAACAATATTTTTGTGAACGTTGTATTATAATATTTATTACAACAATTTTGAAAAACTGTTCATGATGACGGAATGAGGTAGATGAGGTAAATGAGGGTTATAAAAATTCACCAATTAATTTCGCTGATCCGACAGTACTTCGATTTCCCAGTACATTCAATGATGCAATACGTAATACTACTTTCTTTCTCTTTTTCATGCACTTTCATGTTTTTTCCCGGTTTACAATCTTTTATTCCGATAATAAAAAAAGACATTTTATCGGAGTGGGAAATCCATCGTTTCACGGTTTCATGCAATGATTGGGTTTCCACTATGTTCTTCCCGGCACATAACGCATAAACACACACGAATGAAGTTACATGAATACGAATGAAGTAATACATGAGCGTCCACATGTTTATGTTTTTAACGTGTTAATGTATCGCCATATAAGCTTTTTCATAACGTATACAAATCTCTGTAATTTATGCGCGAAGTGTCAACAGTCAACGTTGTAGTAGTTTGATAAGATGCGGTTCTTTCCCGCGCCTCGTTGGTTCGATCTTACGCATACAATGCTTCTCTATTCATACATGTATATATATATATATATATATATATATATATATATATATCTTATCTTCTCTTTCGCTTTTTCTCTTTTTCTCCTTTTCTATCTCTTTTATTTCCCTCTCTTTTTCTGTCTCACATTCTTTGGATCGCCAAGCTCTGGTAAGCTTGTTGTATATAAGCGAGACTTGTCGTATCTGGAGACATAATTCTCTAACTCTCAACGGAGTGCCGAGGTAAGAGCAATTAATTAATATCTTTATCACAAAGAAACTTTTTTCTTTTTTATTTTATCATATTGTGCGTAAAAGAGAACAATTTCTTTAAATATTTCATCGTTTGTAATTTTGCATTAATAATAGCGTAGGATTGTAGCGAGTATAGAAAGGTTCCGTGTGTTACGGAGAATACGCACGGTATGCGAGCAATAATTTGCGTGTTAAATGAAATTTAACAGTATACAATTTAAATTATCGTGCTTCGATAACGTTAATATGCGTAAAAGGAGTGTAATATACCAAGCTACTAACAGTATTGTGCATGTTTAATTAATACGATTAATTTGTTATAATGATGTTATGCGTGTAATTAAAATTCGTTTGTAAACTCAGGTTGTCACAAAGTAATGAAAAATTAAAGAATAGCGATAATTCATTATGATATTTTATAATAACGATACTACATTACATTTTACAGTTTGATCGTTGGAACAATCTACTCGTATAAGACAAGTGATTTGATAACCAAAATGAAGTTGGGTCTTCTGTTCATAACCTTTTTAATGGCGATAATGTCCGTCATGTCATACAGAGCACCAGTGCCGAATAGAAGACCGGGACAGCCTACTTTCCCTACTTTCCCGGGAACCGGACCGTTTAATCCGAAAATACCTCAAGGTCCATGGGGTAGACCCAGTATTTAAGAAGTTTTGGTATACTGAAAAAACAGGAGGATTAAAGAAAGAGATTAATTAAGCAATGAAAATATATCGATTATTATTGACATGTCGCCAAAAACTGTTCTTACTATTATTATTAAAATAATTTTGTATATTATTAATTGGGAGATTAAATCCTCATAATTTATAGAAATAATCTTTTCAATATAAGAATTATTTATTAAAGAACCTGTTCGAATGTGTCTTAAGATTTCTCCTAAGTATGGATAAATCATTTGTTACTTGCGCATAATAAAATAACAATTTTAACTACTATCAATCTGTGTCGCGTTCGAAATTAAACTTTAAATATTAGTCTGATTTAAAATAAATCTCAATTTCTAAAACTCACATAGAATGTTTATTTTAATTAATCGCACGTCAGTTACTTTAGCAGTGCTGGATTTGTAGTCCTTCGGTTAACGACACATTAACTGGACTAAAAAACGTTTATCAGAGGAACATATCGTTTAACAGTTCAATGCAATCACCGGCCATTTCCGCGACGTGTTCCAAACAGATGTATCCAATTCTATACATTTTGAACTTGCACGGTTGTGCGAGCTTACGCGAACCAATCGTCTACTACTTCTCTACATTTTACATAAATTCACAAATTGAACAGATTTATGAACTAGAGATTATATATACAATGTTATTTAAGTAAAACTTTTTCTATATTATATATTTTTTGAAAAAATAAAATATCCATGTTAGTATAAAATTAACGATTTAAATTTAATACATATTCAGCGAGCATGACAATACGTGTATATGTTTTATTTATTTTTTTATAAAGCGCAATGATCATATATGAAAGTTAAAAATTTTTATTGATGCGTAAAATTAATGATACGTATAAAGTAACATTAGATAAAGTTAAATTAGATAGGTATTATTTATGAGTTATTTTAGACTATCGTATCGAGGAAAAAGCTCATGGAATTTTTAGACTTTGCGTGGTTATGGTTAAACAAATTTTCTTTTCATATAGAAAGCGTTAATTAACTCAGCATATGCACATTTTAACCGATAATAACGAAAATAACGAATACGATCCATTGTTCGAAAGGAGCAAGCAGAGTTGCATTTAGGTACCTCTAATAATGCCTATCGTGAACGTAAGCGAGGGTGCTCTAATTATCTGCCTCTCGATGAGATGCTTTCTTAAACGCATGTAAACAGCTTCATTACTACCCAAGCGTGCTATAAAATATCTTCACGAGAACGGTTGGGATGGCCAATCACAAGTTTCACACACTCCATCGCCTTGTCTCTAAATATTCATGTTCTTTTCACACACTGATTCCGATGATTTCAAAATTAGATAAATCTTTAAATGTATAAAATATAGCTAAAAACAAGATCTGAGGATATAATTAAAAAAAAAAAAAAAAAAAAAAAAAAACAAATATCTATATAGTTATGTTAATTAAAAGAAATCATCTGTATTTTTTTGTACATCATAAAAATTTAAATACTCTGATATTGAAAGAAGTAGAGAAAATGATTACAATAAAAGTACAAACTTTTATTAATATCTTCTTCTTGTTAAAACCAGATTGTTTTTTTCATTAAAATATTTTGTAACAAACTATCGGATACTCATATATATATATATATATATATATATATATATATATATATATATATATATACTATATATGAGTATCAGTAATAGCAAAGAGTGCTTCTAGTGTTGCACTCTCGAAAAAGCGAATCATTTTTCAAAATGCATCGTATTCGAGAATGAAACGATAATTCCAGTCGATTTATCCTATTTCATGTTTTCTATGCTTCATGAACGCGTTTTCCTGGATCGATTTGTTGCTCGGTTCACTAAAGATTATGAATTTCTTTTTCTCTAAGTTGTGCCAAAAAACTGAAAATCCAGAAGTGACTTTAGTGAAAGCAGTGAACCGGCATCGAGAAAATATCTTTGCCCTCTCGCCAGATGCTATCCAGCTTTTCCGTATCGCCGAGTAAACGACTTCGAATCGGTTCTGTGTTGTATTCCACATACCAGTAAAATTTTTGTTTTTACATTGGTCAATGGCAACTCGATATCTTTGCTTATACATTCGAATCTTTCAAGATCGTATCATTTTCTCAAGAATGGAGATTGATGAGAATAAAAGATCTATTGATTAAATTAATCCAAGTAATCTTTTTTATACTTACGTATAAAATTTTATTTATATCTTTTACGTATTATTATATTTTACGTATAATATTTTTCTTTATATCTTTACATAAGTTGAATATACCTATTTATGGTTTTTATTTTTTTTTTTCTTTCAAAGGATTAACATCGTATTTGTAAGACATCCATTTTTTTTAATAAAAAAAGAAAAATTCCATTTAAGAATAAATTTCGTTACCATTGACGATTCAAGTAATTATGAGTAATGTATCGAACATATATTCGTTATGAGCAAAAAGCCAGCGGTTATGCAATTTTAGGAACATTATTTTGCGAAGGCTGCACGAAATGTTGGGCGTAACCGCATATTGGCTAGTACAGGTATATATATATATATATATATATATATATATATATATATATATATGTGTAAATGCGTAATGTATATGTATCTATAGCTTAAGTAAAAATATACCGCGAAAATGGAACTTCGATTTATCATTCCCTTTTGCAAGATAATTCAAAGTATTACGCAGAAGTGAAAGAAAAAAAAAGAGAACATAATATCAGGGGTGTTCCTAGAAATTACTTTCTCGTTTTTTTATTTCTTTTTCTCTATCGATTTTATTTACCACCCATTGTTCGTTATCTTTGAACAGAACAGCTACGGTAAAAGTTACATTATCGATAAGAGACTTTAAGAGGAAAAGTCGTTTTCCATTAACATGGCTTACATCTTATAAGAAGCACCTACGATAATTTTTTTACTTCCTCTTGCAATCATAGTTTTCCGTTTGACTAAAGATTTAATTGAAATAGGTTGCGTTTACGCGAAAAGAGAAACGCCTCTTGAATTTAATTCTTCAGACATTTCTTTGAGCCTTGATCGTCTTACAGGGTTAAGTATCCTTGAAAATTTTTATCGTATTGTAGGAATTTAGAAACATATCACTATGATACAGAAAATTGAAATGTCATGGATGTGACAGTGAAAAGGATTTCAGAGGTACTATATTATGTGATTTAAAATAAGTACGAGGATCATTTTAAATAAAGAATTTTTTATTCTATTTACTGAGATATTATAAGATACATGTGAATAAAGTACGTAAGTCAGTACTATTTAAAAGCATCTCGTTATATTATACTATTTGTTTTCTAAAGACAATATGTTATTATCAAATCGCAAATCAATTTAATAAGAAATCCTTCCTTCGTATTTCAGATGTTAGATCTATAACAAAGACAAAATATAACTTGAAGAATAAATTTCAAAAATAATAATAAGTATCAGATAATACTTAGCATTCTTTTCTTTTGTTTTTTCGAATAAAATAAAATTCATTGATTGACTCACTTTTGGAAAAGGCAGAGGCAGCTTGCCTTTGAGATTAAATGTTCCGTAGCCAGGGAACTGAGGAAACCTATGCCTCTTTGGAACAGCATGTGCACAAACTGCCAGTATTACTAACATCAAGATCACAAGAAAGTTTGTTAGTTTCATCTTGACTAGTGATCTATAAAAGGAAGATGAAGATCGTAAGTTTGTAAAGTTAAAAAAAAAAAAATAAGTTTTAACTTGATAGATAGTATAACATCTACATAACAAGTTTAAACTACCTATGTAGTTTACCTATTACTAGAACACTATAAAAATTAAACTGATCTTTTCAACGATAATAGAATGATAATGATTATTATTATTCTCACAAGAGCTGTTTTTATTTTTCTTTCCCCAATGATATATCGTCAAATTTTCATTACAAGAAGTGAAAAGAGAAAAAACTAATTCAAGATCAAAATGTAAGATCAAAATATAAGAAAAAATTACAATTAACGTATAATTTTTATATAAAAGATTTGTTGAAAAAAAAATCACCAATGAAGAGAATATACTCACTTTTGCCTACTACGAACTCAGAATTGTACGATAAAATAAACGGAATGAATACGTTTATATATCGTTGCGCGTATTTATTTATAAATTAATGTACAATATATATATATATATATATATATATATATATATATATATACGTAAGAGAAAGAAAGAAATATGTAAATACGTATGAGAAAGAAAGAGTCAGATTGAGAGATCAAGATGAGAGTAGAGGGGAGGAGTGAAATCGGGAAAGAACATGCTGCTTTATCTGCAATATGGACTTATCAAATCTATGTTGATAGACAATGACCCGAACTATTTTCGTAATGAAAAATACAGCAATTGCGTCATACCTCGTAGTATGCATGTGTATATAGTAGCAATATTAGCGGTCAATAATAAACCGCAGCATAAGCAACGGGAATTACCATTAAAAGTACACACAAAGTAAATTCTTTTATTTTCAGCTGTTGCTTTTTCGATGATTTCGCATACCAATTCGTATGAGCGAATCTATAATTCCCAATGGGGAAAATACAGCTCAGTGAAGAACTTTTGGATCTTTTTCCTATGATTGCAAATTCGTGAAAATTACGTTATTAAATTAATTAATAAATTATTATTATTATTGTTATTATTAAAAAGATAATTATGATTGTAGTTATAATATGATTATAATATGGTGTGTGTGAGAAAGTAAACTGATACAAAATATATATTTTAATTCTTTTTTCATTAATATTTATTTACTTTTAACGAAATGATTGTAATTGGATATTGTGATATTTAAATTGTAGTATTTGGAATTGAATATTTAAAATTTGAATTTTTTCATTATTCGAAAAGTATCGAATGAATGTATATATTTAAATTATTTTAAATTAACAACAAAAGAAAATATAACGATTAAAAGTGCGTTTCATGTTAAATAGTTTAACTGTTTAACAACAATCAAACTAGTTAAAAGTCGATGCAATTTAGATCATGCGAAGAGAATTCTCCGGAAAATGATTCCACAGTTGCGTTAACAGAAGATACGCGTTACTTTAAAGGCAAAGAAGATAATTAGACTTAGGAGTTGGGTCCGTACGTGAATGAACGAAACTCACTAGGTTTGGATTAATTACAGTGAATACCATTGCAAGATAGACATACATAAGTATAGATATATATATATATACCTATAGGTATATTCGGTTTTGACTTTTGGCAAAGCTTTCCCAAAGAGCATTACTACAGTGGATGTGTGTAAAGGGAGATGACGATGAAGTGAATGCTCTTGAAAAAGAAGATCAAAACATCAAGTATCATTATACCATTTTACTCCCTTGAATTCTCGAGATGCAATTAGAGGCCCGGCAGACATCGTAGCCGAGAAAGAAGAAACAAACTTTTTGATAGAACAAGTGGGAGGAGAATAGTAAAAGGTGGCGATAAATACATATTATATAAATACATATATATGTATATATATTTTATTATATGTGTGTATATATATATATATATATATATATATATATATATATAGATCTATATATATATATATATATATATATATATATATATAGATGGATAGATAAAGAATGGGAGAAACAAGAAGAGGGGAAAAAGACAGAGTCAATTCGCTTTTGTCGACCATATAGCTTTTCCAATTTTGTACGCAGTAGAGCTGTCTCTCGTGCCGCTTTGCATTATTCATGTCGGCCCACTTGCACGCGTACCAGTTTCCGGGTCCGCTCTTCTTCCCTTGCTCTCAGTTTCCGGTGCTTATCACATCATGGTGCATTAATACTGCGTGTACAGCATGCACGTGGTCCAGCTCGATACGTACGTTATTTTATACTCAGCGTTTCATTTTGATCCGAATCGAACATTATTATGACTTTCATGAACGTACATAGGTACAAGGAGATACACAAATGTCAATATATATTTTATTATTTACAAATTAATTACAATTTTAAAGAAAGTCTATGACGATTTTTCAACAATTTTATAAATTATGATTTTTCGTTTACATTAAATAAGATTGATCGTTACTTAAATTTAAAAATCCATTTGGCATTAACCCGTGAAAATTGTACTATCGTTGGATCTGTTTGTCGGCTAACGTCGAGTAATATTTCATTGACTTTTAATATTAAAATTATCGTGATCTACGCGTTTAATCGAAGTTATAAATTCTCTTATACATACATGCTTCTTTTATAGAGTTTTTTTTTAAATCAATTATGTAAGTAAAAGACTCATAATCCGAAAATATAACCAATTATCATTCTATTATTACGTAGAGTATGAAAGGACATTCTTGTATTCGTGATAACTATAATAAAAGATAAAATACCCAATAGTAATTATCTGACTTTTTGTAGTATGAACTGTAGTAATCTTCTTTTCTCTCCTTTATTTTTCTATTTTCTCTCTTCTATAATTATCAACTAATCCTCAAAACTTTTACTCCCTTTTGGAGATGTTACATCAAAAGCATTGATATATAATTAGGAACTAAATTATCGGAGACAGTCATTGATATAATCGTTCGAGTATACTCTTGCGTTTCTATACAAAATGACATTTCCTATTACAGAATCATATATTTTCGTATTTAGACTAATGCTCCTTTCGCTGCTAATTTCGTATATAATACGTATTTCTCTCTCTTTCTCTATTCTTTTTTTTACTCATGAACATAAGTACATAGGTAAGTAAATATCATCTAGGTAAGGTAATAGACCCTTATCTCATGTTATTTCTCTCGTGCGGCAATATGGTTGAATCTAATCGCAATTCATTAGACTAAAACCGCAAGTAGATGAGCTCTGTACAAAAGCATAACAGAAGCAGCCGCATCAAACGCAGCCATAATGCTTTTTAGAAATGTTTATTATAGATACGTAATTGATCATGTAAATGGTAATTTTCGATGAGAAAAAGAAGGGAAAAGTTGCTTGGCAAATCCGTACAGGTTTATTTGACATTTACTCTTTTTCAATTTTTTATTATATCTTTACTGTACAAGAGTGTATAAATGTAAGTGCAATTATTACATCTGCTTTTTTAATTCGATGAATTTACCTCACTCGAGGTTTCTTTCATCTGATTTATTTCATTGAACGAACTTTTCTTCATATTACTTGCTCAGGAGAGTATACCACGTCTTGCAGGTACTTTCCTACGTTCCATATATGTTCATTGAAACGACTGTGAAACTATTTTTCTTTTCCTTGATGCTACTTAACGACGAAGTTAGTTCATTGCCATTGGCTACCAAGCACTTTAATAAGCTCCCAACGTGAAGCAAAGATAAGCTGTCCGAAAGATTTATCATCGTTTGAACTGAAACGCGCTATAGACGAAGAAGAATAAGCTTGGAAATACTGGTGTTAGATGGAGATGGAGATGGATCTTTGCGATTTTGCAAAGAATGTGAGGCGACCGATTTGTAGTTCTCCTTCTTGGTTTTCACGATATAACGTACGGCAATAAACAAAGAAATTGATCTTTTGAAATGAACGTCAACGGGTTTTCTATCGCTATTAGCTTCGTAGACTTCCGAAAAATTCGTGATCGATCTTATACAATCGAATAGGAGAATTTGATTTAATTCTTCGGAGTGACTCGTTTAATCAAAAACAATGGAAGCGATTACCACTTCGCCAATTTTTGTGCCAGTTCGTCGGAAAATCGACTGGTCAGAAATGCAATATATTCGAGTATCGATTTCTTTTTCTCTCTGTCTCTTCCTCTATCTTTCTTTAGCTAGCGCATGCGTTTTTCCTTTCCTTCTTTTTCGTTATTGTCTGCTCTTTTCCTTTTTTCTTGTTTTTTTTTTCTTTTTTTGTCAAAATACGAAGTGAAATACGAGAGGGAGAGAGAAAGAGAGAAAGAGAGAGAGAGAGAGAGAGAAATTAGCAGCAGTAACGCGCCATAGACCATGTTGAAAAAGCTATAGATGAACTCTTTCAATGTATTTCAAGCTTTTGATCGTTCCTTTATTTATCATTCTCTGAATAGGAGTTTAGAATCACTTTTTAGACTGTCACCTTCCTATATAAAATATATTTCATATACACAGTGTATCATTTATTATTATTCCAATTAATTGCAAATTATTTACGATTAATGATAATTATTTATGAATTATATAAGCAAATAGAAAAGATATGTGCTTGAAAGTATAATATATAAAAAGATAAGTATTTTCGAATTTGACATTTTTCGTGTAAATGCTATCATTGTTTTAAAGAATAATGTATTTGAGATTTCTTGAAGGATATAAAAGTATTTAAAACAATGGAAGATAGAATTCATTTTTTAAAAGATGTCACGTTTAGAAATTTAACGTATGTTTGTTAAAATAGTTTGATAATTTTTTATAATATTATGTTTAAAGGTTCCGAGAAAATCTTCTTTCATATATAAAATATTTTATTTAAAATCACATTGCGTTCGTTTATTCACGTTGAAAAATTCACCTTTTATATACGATTGAATAATAATCTATGAAACCGTGAATTTCTCTTTCTTTTCATTTTTCAAAATGTATTGATTGAAGATTTTTCGCGCTTCTACACATTCTACCATCCGTAAACCAACCATGCGTTATCGTAGAGAGACCATCCTTTCTATCCCATTCCATTCCTTCTACTCTTTTCACAAACATCGCTGTCGCCATTGCTGACCTCCCGGATTCTATCGTTCTACGTCACTATTAAAACAATTGTGAAAAGCTTTTTGTTTCGAGCTTCAAATCTGTAAACTTTACAGAGAATAGCAATAGAATTTACTTCCAGATAATATTTCAGAAGCGGGTATTGTAAAATTTTACTCTATTCTCAACGATACTCATAACTCGTACCATTCAAATCACTAACAAAAATCTATTTCAGCATGATTGAAATATTGTTTATTTATTTCGTTTATCGAAAAAGAAAATAATTTAACATTTGATTAGTGAAAATTTTACCTTATATTAATAAGCTTATAGTATGTTTTACATTTTCTTCAATTTCAATCACAGACAATTTAGAATCAAGGAAATATGTTTACGAAAATAGTACATCGTATGTATTTGTAAGATGAAAATTACCTACACAATACTATCGTCTTTCCTTATTCATCTTCGGAA